CCCCCGGCTCCCGGCCGGCCGGCCAGCCGTGCTGCCGACCCACGAGCTACGAGGCCGTCTCCTTCATGGACGTCAACAGCACCTGGAGGACCGTGGACCGCCTCTCCGCCACCGCCTGCGGCTGCCTCGGCTGAGGGCGCTCCAGACCGGGCGCCGACTGGCTCGGAACCCGTGGGTCTCCCTGCCTGGAGCCCTCCCGGAGGGACCCTCGAGCCAGCGGGCTCATCCAAAGATAGAGGCCTCGGAGGGGAAGGCCCAGGAGTCAATGGCAGTGGAGAGCCAGCCGGACCCAAGGCAGGATTGGGGGGGGGGGGGGGGGGGTGGGGGGGCAGGAGGCCCTCATCGCGGGAGTTCCAGCACCACAGACTCCGGATACCTCCGGTAGAGGGACCACTCCTCTGACTTTGGCGTCGACCAGGCCACGGACCCAAAACCCCTGCTCGGGAGAGGCTTGCAGCGTGAGGTCCCCCAGAGAAGCCCTGGGGCCTGGGATTTGAAGGTGACCTTGCAGTTGCTTGTCTGAAAGTATCTGGGGTGTGACTGGCCTTGTACTCGTTTCCGGGAGCTAGACCCCTATTTATTATTTCTAAATTATTTATTTACTGCTGTGGCTTGGTGACTCCTTCCCTGGGCAGTGGGTGCCGTTGGGGCAGGAGTGGCTGGGTGGATGGAGACGTGGACGTGGTACTCATGGGCCTCAGCCCCACTCTGTAATACATCCACTGGTGAGTTTCCGAACTGCAACCCTGGACACGAGGACACCGCTTCATCTTTCTCCCTCAGAGGTTGGTGGTTTCAAACTGCTGACCCTGCCATTAGAAGCCCAACGCTTAACCACTGCTCCTCTGCTGAGCAATACAGACCAGCATTTCACTGCCTGCCCCTCCCAGCAGCTCTTCTGGGAGCCAGGAGACAGCCACAGAAGGCACAAAAGCCAGCTCACAGCCCCTACACCATCCCCGGCACTTGAAGCAGCTGCGGGGAAAGACTGCAGAGGCTTCTGTGGTGACCTCCGGTCTCCCTGGCGTCCCTCTCTGTGGGTGACACAGAGGACCACGCATTGCCTCTTCCCAGTGTCCTTGCGTAGTGACCTACCATTGAGAGAACAATCTTGAACGCATCCCCACAGGTGCCCGTGCTGCCTCTGCTTACTACCCACATTCCATCAGGATGAAGCCTCTGTGATAGGGCCGAGCCCAGAGAAGGACAGCGCAGGGGAGGCTGGGTCAGGGGGGTGAGGGGCAGGAAAGGGCTGTGGGCCCTCCTCAGAACCTGACATCCAGCACATAGTGATCAGTGCCCATTATGTGTCAGACAGGTCTGTGGGTGGCACAGTTTGTGCTTGACTAGGAAGTGAAAGGTTGGCAGTTTACACCCACCTGACGGTGCCACAGAGAAAAGACTGGCAGTCTGCTTCCATAAAGACCGCTGTGGAGAAAATCCCGTGGAGCAGGTGCACTCTGGAACACGGGGGTCGCTCTGCGGTGGCCCTGACCCTGCAGCGAGGCTTGGCTTTTGTGGCTTGGCTCCGTCAGCTACGAGAGATTCTGAGGAGATACGGGAGATACAGAAGTAACAGGGACATTTTCCTTGCCCTTAAGAAGTTGAAAACAGTAGGAGAGACCGACAATAGTGACCCAAGTACAGAAATGATTATTTAAGTTCAGTTTGACGAGTGCTGTGCAAAAGGACAGGAAGATGAGAAACCACAACTTTGTCTGGAAGGAAGGAGAGGGCAGTGTTGCCCCTGGCCTCTCAGCTGCCCCCTCGTCATCTCTCAAACTGCCACGGGGAGAAAAGTAGTCCATGCGGTGGGCTCCGCTTTTCTTCACGGGTTGTGAAAACTTGCCTCCTAGGGCTTGGCACTGGACAGACCTATGGGGCTTTCTTAGAAGTAAGATGGTGACGTGTGGGGAGGGAGTATGGGACATCCAGGGGGCTCTCAGGAGGCAGTGGGGTGTGCTGTCTGGAGTAGAGGTGGGGGCTCTGGCCCCGGGTCAGTTAGGAGCCATCAGAACAGGGCAGTAGCTGCAGGAGGGGTAGATGGCTAACACCCAAGAGAGGCGGTGAGTGAGAAGAGGTTGGAGGTGCGACCCCTGTTCACGGAAATGCCTTCCAAACTGCCAAGGGCCTGTCTGCGTGGACACAGGTGCCCCCTCCGCCCGGGCTAGAGTGAGGAGCTGGCAAGACCTGGGTCAGGGAGCAATGAGTCTGAATTCTTCTGTGTGCTCACAAAACACCCTGTGGTCCCCATTCTCTGCCTCCAAACCGATTCAAAATCCTCAGTCTCCACCGCTGCCCACCCTCTCCTACCATAGGGGCTCACAAAGGCCAGTGCTTCCAGCCTGCGTGGTGTCACCTGTCAATTCTAGCATCACTGGGGTCAGCAGGGTGGGCTGTTGTTGTCGCTGGCATGATCTAACTTACCTCTAGGTTCTTCTATCCATTGCAATGGCTGCGTAGAACTCAGACAAAATTCACGATTAACGGTTTTATTAAGGAAGTTAACAGGCTATAACGCCAGTGAGAAATGCTCAGGATAGAGTTGGCGTATCAGGACCGATCACAAAGCTCTTTCAGATCTGCTAATAAATGCCTGAAAGGGCATACCACTGCTGTAAGTCGAAACGTAAAGGCATTCCATTCCAGCTCTGGGGGCCAGCAAACCCAACTCCCTGAATTAAGTGCCCAGAGTCACCCTACTCCAGTAAGCCTTCGCTCAAAGGCACCGAGTTCCACTTACCTGGGCCAGCAAGCCTAGCTTCCCCAATCAAGTGCCCAGAGGCACCCCATTCCACAAGCCAGCCTCCTACACAAAAGCCCTCAGCTGTGCGTGCCCCTCCGCTGGGAGGTGCGCCACTCCGCTGCGTGCTCGGGGTCTGCTGCTGCGCTCCTCTGATGTGATCACAGTTTTCTTCTGGATCCAAGACGTTCACTGCTCAGGGACCTCGGGTCCAGGCGACACATTCTCCTCCTGGCTCTTGCTGGCAAAGAGATCCCTCCTGTTTCTCGTGTTACACGGAACAGGATGGCAATCCAGGGAATCCTGTTGACCGTTACTCCCAGGTGAATCCCATCAGTAGCCCCCTCCACCTGCTTACCAGACGCCTGCAGGACAAGGTCCTTTGGTGGGAGTTGGGCCGACTGGAAGAGCCATTCCCACAATGGCTTCAAACCTGTTGCTGCAGCCTAATGATGCCATCGTCACTGACAATGCTCACAATGAGAGGGTGACATCTGCGCCTGAGCCACCTCGCTCTCTCTGATCCTCCCCAATTGTCCGGCGCCTGGGGAGCAGCTGTCCACCCATCACATGACCACACCAAGCAGAGCAATTTAGCTCCCAGGGGCCCCGGGTGGCTCAGATGTCTTCATTTCTGAGTGTTGGAAAACGCAACACTGCCCATTTGCGTAATCTTC